TGTCCCTGCACTGGACTGAAGATCTGTCCATGTGTCCCTGCGCTGGAGATCTGTCCATGTGTCCCTGTGCTGGAGATCTGTCCATGTGTCCCTGCGCTGGAGATCTGTCCATGTGTCCCTGCGCTGGACTGGAGATCTGTCCATGTGTCCCTGCGCTGGACTGGAGATCTGTCCATGGGTCTCTGCGCTGGACTGGAGATCTGTCCATGTGTCCCTGCGCTGGACTGGAGATCTGTCCATGGGTCCCTGCGCTGGACTGGAGATCTGTCCATGGGTCCCTGCGCTGGACTGGAGATCTGTCCATGTGTCCCTGCGCTGGACTGAATTAACCACTATGAATCAGTTGGACAGTGTCCAGTTAATAAAGTTCAGGGCAGCCATGTTGTTGCTGTGCTGGTTTTTCAGTTCTTCATGTATATTCAGTGATTACTTCATGAGAGATCCAGTGCGACCCAGCCAGTGGTTTGGAAGATATTTTACTAACACAAGGTAAGAAGGGCCTCTCCTTCTGACTTCTCGATGATGGGCGGCGGCACGCTGTTTGAACTGGAGCGGGGCTCCTTCCTGCGCATGCGCCGTGCTGCGGTCGGGAGAGGACGGAGGAGCGGAGTTAACGGGGCTCCGTGGAGCGGCATGTCTCGGAACCAGAGTTCTCCGTGTCTTCTTGTTCACGATGAACTGTAGCAGCTCAGTAAGATGCGTGTGTGTGTCCAGATGAGCAGTTTGCTGCTCGCCGTCAACTTTTTCCTGCCGCCGCTGCGAGCTCAGGGTGAGTGTCCGATCATGGACGTGCCCCTGCGCTGAGGGCTTCTAATGCGTTTCCTATGGCTGGTGTGACGCCGCGTCGAGCTGCTGGTTCTGGCGCAACCTTAAAGTTCGGTTCGGGGTGTCTTGTTGTGTTTTGTCTGTGACAGCTGGCATGGCCGCTTCTTGAATTCGGAACTCCGTTCAGAAATCTTACAAATTAAAAACGTTCTGCTTCTCGGCGCACGTAACGCGCACAGTTTTCATAAAGTTTACTTTGATCTTTAGTCTTTGGACAAATTCGGGCAGAACTTTTTCTTTTAATAAATAAAGTTTTAAACAGGTAAATCTGTAGCTGTCGCCTGCTGAATGTGCATATTTCCTGTAATTAAAGATAAAGTAACTTTATTTTGTGAGACATGGACAGTGATGACGTGTTTCCGTCAAAGACTTGTTCTGTCTTCTCGCCGAGGGTTCTGTTGGACTTCACATCCTGTCAGGTCTGCTGGGCTCAGGAAGGTTCTGCTGTGTGGTCCACGTTGTTCGGACGGGTTCTGAGGGTTCTGTCCCCTGAGACCCAGCTGTGGACAGGGAGGAGACACAGGACGGGCTGGGGGACTGTTAAAGAAAAAGAGACCAAATAACAATTAGTTTATATAAACTCCTTTTAGGCTGCTGCCAAAGACTAAGGCTGGTACTCATGTTTTTGCATTTGTCTGTTAGCAAAATATTTCAGGACGTGTGGACAGATTTGAATGAAACATAAAGTATTCATCTTGTCTTCTACTGATTAACTTATGGTGCCAATCCAAGATGGCTGCCACAACAAACAAACACAGACATGGCTCCTGATCCAGTTTTACAGATCGAGCTGAAGTCTGGTGTGGTGGTAGCTGACACTGACCCTCAGCACATACTCTGAAAGACCTGGAGTCTACCCTGACTGTTAGCAAAATATCTCATGGACTCTTGGGTTTTAATGAACCTTAGACGATGTGCATCCACAGCTGGAGTCAGCTCAGTTCAATATGGCCGCCACAGCTAATCAGTGTTGGCCAACACAATAATGTCTCAGTCAGTTTGACAAGTACTCTGCTCAGATGTGAGGTGGTAGTATCTGAGAGTCATTCAACACGCTGAGCTTTACAACATGTTGTACAGTGTGTCCCTCGTTTACTGTGGGGGTTACGTTCCAGACCCCGCCCCCCCACCACCACCACCACCACCACCAGCGCAGTAAGTGAAAAACCTTGAAGTAGGGACTTTATATTTATTTTAGTATTTAGATTTTAACAACATATGTATATGTACTGTACAGTACTGCAAAATTTTACTCACCAGCTCTACAGGAAAGCAGCTCGGTTCCAGTCCGGCTCGGTTCTGGTTTGGCAGACCTACGCTGCTGGTTCGGTTCTGGTCGGCTCTCTGCAGCCCTTGAGCACCAAAATGCTTTTGGAGGTAGCCGGGCCTTTGGATGGCCTGCACGGGTCCACATAGTGGTCGAGATCGAGTCCAAATCCAGATGAGGTAGTCCCGGTGAGCTCTGGAGAGAACACCGGACCTCCGGGCGGTGTCTTCCCGATCAGGAGGCCTCACGGGCCGGCGGGCGGCACTCAGACTCACCGCACCGTTTCTGGTCCGGTTCCCGGTCAGTTCCATGCGGCTCTCTGTATTCGCTGGGCGCTGAAGTCACTGTGAATAAGGACCAAACTTTTTCAGCTCGGATCAAAACTTTCCCTCCATTTCAGCAGAAGACAACGGCTGGAAGCACTGTTGGGGCTTCTGGGTAATGTAGTCCTTTTGAGTGGCGATAGTGTAAGCTTATTGAGAGAAAACTATAAAATGGCCTGTCCAAAGTATTGAATTTTGTCATTAACTTTTTAATGTGCAGTAGCCACACTGTCCCAGTCACGTGAGTAATATTAAAGTTGACAATCGTGTGTCGTGAACAATCTTACTTTGAAAAACCACGAAACAGCGAGTCCGCAAAAGTCGAGCGGCGAAGTAGCGAGGGACTGCTGTAACACCGAATGAGATTATGTAGTTATTTTACAGGTTCAACCCAAACGGCTTCAACGTAGTCATTTTTTAGTTTAGATAGTTTTAGACTGTCATAAGATGGTCTAAAACGGTGGCCTGAAAGGCGGCGGGTGACAGGCATTCCTTCAGGCCTTCTGGCAGCAGCAGCAAAAACCTGTTGGAGTCTGCAGAAGAAGAATCAGCTCTAAGATGTTCATGGATTCATCAGGAGCTCTTAAAGCTGCGCTGTAAAGCTGACAGCTCTCAATTGGCTTTCACTTGGTAAGTGTTCGAGTCAACAGAGAGCTGTTGCCTGGGGGGGTGGGGGGGCAGGTGGGATCTCCTCATGAGACCTTCAGACCTTCTGTTTGCGGCCTTCCTTATCTTACAGGCAGGCTCCAAATGGTTCTGTTAGTGGGTCGGTCTTTGAAGTTTGCTGCACATGGGTGCAGGATGTGGATTTGCTCTGGCTAAACATTACTTTGTGCACCTCCCACCACCGCCACCACCACCCCACATCTGTCCAAGACATGAAAGGAGCACAACTCTTTAGATCCTCATTTGGGCAGCACATTGTCTCCAAAAGGCCTCTGACAATCATAACGGTCCCAGAAACTCCCAGCGTGCTCTAGTTGTGATAAATCAACCTCATGTGGACGAGCTGGACAACAGCTTTACCTCCAGCAGACCACGGCATCCTGGTCCAGCATCACCCTCTCAGACCCTGCCCACACAGGGGTGTTTTAGTGCTTGTGTCCACACCGAACCTGTTTTAGGAACACCAAACTGTATTTCTGGAATGTGATCAAATGTAGATCCCCATCCTTGTGTTTTCCAGAGGATAACCTTAAGCTAACCTTTTGAGAACTGTGATGTCAAAGGATCACCTCTTATATTGGACAGGTCTCTCTTGTAAATGAGTCCTTGAGGCTCAATGGGACTAACCTGTACAAATAAAGGTTGAATATTTGACTAGGCCTGTCACGATAACAAATTTTGCTGGGCGATTAATTGTCTCAGAAATTATTGCGATAAATTATAATATTGTTTGAAATTTGACAATAATTAGTAATTATTGTCAAATTTAAGAAGAACTGTTGGTTAATTTGTTTTGCGTGTAGTACCTTTTTTGACCACCAGATGGCAGTATGACTGTTTGAACTGAAGGATGGATAGTGAGGGAGCGAGCAGCGTGTCTCTAAGAAAAATGGGAGGGAGGCCCCTTGACGTGACACGGGCTGTCTCTCTTGGGTTTTCAAAATGGTGGATGTTCGGTGTGGTTTGAACTCTTTAGCATAGCATTTATCACACAAAGCTTTTAATAAAAATCAGTAAACAAGTTCTCAGCTTCTTTTTGCAGAGAAAAACAACTTTTTACACGTAGGCACAAGTTTCAACCGTGAATTTTGGAGCTTCGACAAGACGGAGGTTTTTTCCCCGAGGTCGGCCTGTTAGCTTAGCTTGTAGCTTAGCTTCTCAGCTTAGCTGCTTTTAACGATCCAATAACGTGATTTTGGACGGTTAAAACAGATTTTAAAGAGAAAGGGAGGGGTCAGTGAAGAGACCGGAGTTGAGCCTTTTGTCTTCCAGTGTCTTCAGTAGAAAAAGAGAGACATGAAGAAACGATAAAGCCGATAAATGAAAATGGTAAATGGACTGTACTTATGTAACGCCTTTCTGTCTTCTCGAGATACTTAAAGCACTTTACAATCTGTGCCTCATTTACCCATTCATACAGCTCTATACTAGATCTCTACAAAGCTAATGGAACAATTCATTCTAAAGAGACTAATCCGAGCTTTATCACATTCATAAACCGATGGGACACACATCAGAGCCAATGAGGGGTTCAGTGTCTTGCCCCGGAACACTTCAGCATGTGACTGCTGGTGGATTCGAACCCCCAGCTCTTGCATTGGAGGACGACTGCTCTAACCACTCAGCCACAGCCGTCCAAACAAGCTAGATAATTTATTTATCATGTGATTAATTGATTTATTGTTTATTGTGAAAAGCCTATATTTGACAGGTGAAAATGAAGACATACTGAACCTGGCTGGCAGGATCAACAGCACGTATCATAAAGTAAACTTGAATTCAGCCATATAAGAGATACGAACCAGGCTGTGGTCCTAACTCGTAAAGTTTCATCACCTGGATTATTGAGCATGGACCTTGTTGGTTTCATCACCCTTCTTACAATGCTTTATTTGCTCTTAAATAGTTTGTTGTTGTACTAAAACTTGGACTACATTTAGTACATAGGAGTAAAGGAAAAAGTATGCACACGCTGTGGGATGTAGCAAGTTGATTGGGATTTTTTTTATTTAAAATGGCTGTCCTAATTACTGTCCTGCACCCATGTGGTCTTATAGTTTAGTGTGAAGAAGTTCCACATCATTGTCTGTCCACCACCCTTGTCTTTTCCTTCATGTTGTGTTTACAGTTTGAATTATAGACTGAATAAAATATTCAACAGCTCGTATGTGTACTCTATGGTTCATACGTATTTTTATAGTCCATGGTTAATTTGTATAGTCAGTCAAGGGTTTATATATTATATTATTATACAGTAGTTTGTACTTTCATAAGGTCTTTGGTTTTTACTAATATAGCTATCTAGATAAGATAGATAATGTTTATTTTACCACCATTTTTAAAAACAAGACACCCCCCCCCCACCACCACCACCATTTTATAAGTACGCCCAAAATGAATATTTAAGTATTTTTTAAATTCCATTCTGGAGTCTTGTGACAACCGTCCAGACCACTGAACAGATTCAGTTGGTCAGTTTTAAGCCATGAGTGGGCTAATATAAAAATAAAAAAGGTTAAGAAAAGGTAAAAAGAACGTTTTACTCAGTCCGTTACCTCACTCCTAGGAGTCAGGAAAAACAATTGCCAAGTCTCCGTACGAGTTAGTTGGTTGTGGTGACCCCTGAGGAAAGGAGCAGCAGGAAGAAGAAAAACATATGGACTGTATACTACGGTACATTCACCGATG